TAAGTCCACAGGGTGCTGTGTTTTTGGAACAACTGGTCTAGAAACTAAAGGACATAGCTTAACTCCTTCCTTTTGTACACATAAATTACAAATGATTCAAATGCATTTCACTGCATACAACAAATTATTAAAATGATAAACCAAGTAGGCACATTGGTAAAGCAAGGAGGACAACTTCAAAATTTGTATGGGAAATGGGCGTGTGCGCAGAAGAATCTAATTTTTTAATTTTTGGACAGTGGTGCCTTTTCATTAATGAAAGGAATATTTTTTCACACAATTGTGGTATCCTTCGGCACAGTCACAATAGTGAACATCTTGGCCTACCTTTCTGTGGTACTGTTTTGCCTTTTAAATCGACCCTAATTTTGGAATTTCCTAGGTATATGTAGGCATCTTTCCCTAAATTTTTTTTAAGAAGTTCAAAATCTATGTCTTTCAAATTAAATCTTCTAGAGCGTAATATATGATATATTAATGTATATTTATGCCAATTCTTACTGAGTTAGGACATGTCAGCCATTAGTTATGCTAATTCAGATAAAATGCAGCATGGTAAGGTTGCTCAGCCCAATAAAGATAAGGAGGTGACCACGCCCCCTTCTTTAATGGCGGAACTCACAGGGACTTAGAAAATATTCAATTATTACCATTATTTACATCAAAACATTTGATGACTTGTGTTTTTAGAGGTTCTTGAAACAAGAAATATTATTTTGAGGTTTCAATTTTAAGAGTTTAAAAGAGCTATTCTGACCCAGGTCCTTTTAGACTAAATGTTATTTGGATATCATTTGTGGTAGTTTATTTTAGTTAAACTGAAATAGTAAGTTTACAAACATATATGATAGTATAGTCAATACAGTTCACTCAATTATCTTTCATTCGATACCAAATTTTGTCTTACAAACCCAACAATAATATTTTCAATAGTTTTTAATCCCAACATCTCACTTCTTCCGATACCCAGGTCCGAATAGCTACAAAAAAATTAAAGCTAAACTAGAACTAGAATTAGAACGTTGATTCTTGTCACGGTCAGATCGCGTGAGTTTTTTGTGTCAACTTCTATAACTTTTTTTGTGAGCCTAGTATTGCTGATGTTTCACATATTGATGTTGGTAGAGTGACTGAGGTTTGTAGTTTGTTTGATGGTAATATTGATTATGAACCCAGAGAAGTTGTTTGTGATCAGAATATTGTTTATGAACATAGTGTTACGGATAATTTACTTGTTGATGTTGAGAGAGTGACTGAAGTTTGTAGGGTGCCGGAGGCTTTTGATGGCACACTCATGGCCATTGATAACACACCCACGGGTGTTGAAGACATGAACCACCTTCCGCTTCCATGCAAGCGAGGTGGCAAATATAAAAATGGGTCAAGTCGCGAGTACCATGAAGTGGAGACCGTAACCTTGACCAGGGCAGCGCCCACTAGATGTCGTCAGGTTGAACCTTCGACAGAGTTCACCGACACTCCTGAGTCAAGCTCACGTGTGTTGTTATGTTTTGAAGAGGAGGGGAGATCGCATTTTTGGACTGCTCGTGAGTTTAACTCAGTTATTTTTGAACATGTCACAGTTGACAGAGACTGTGAAGTGTTTCCATCTAGAGACGATGGGAAAATTGAGTTGAATAAATTTGACACGTCTAAGAATGTACCACGTGTTTTGCTTTTCAACAATGATGGTATTTGTTACAAAGGAGAAGGGACAGCTTGGGAGGAAGCAAAACGGTCTTGGGGTGTAAAGGACTTGTTGGGTGAATTTGTGCCTACTAGACCGTGCAGGTCAAACCCGAGAAGAGAGAGGGGTGAGTTGGGCGGATCAAATAACCTCCATGATTTTTTAAGACAAGGGGATAAGCGAAACATTCCACCGTCTTGTATGTAAAGATTTAATGGACAATTCATGGCTGTCCACACATGCTCAGATGTTGACATTTGTTTTTCTTCACTTTTTCATTTTTGAATTAAGATTTTTCAAAATCATGTGCTGTAAACATTTAAATATTTGTTACAATGTATTAAAATAAATGCTCAATTTGATTGTAGGAAAATATTGAGATGATAAACATGTGCTGTAAACATTTAAATATTTGTGACAATGTATTAAAATAAATGCTCAATTTCATTGTAGGAAAATATTGAGATGATAAAGAATAGTCATTATTTTATCTATTATCATGTATGTTTCATTAGAGATGTCTTAATTCTACAATGCATTGCCATAACAATAGTAGTGACTTTCAAAGTATGATTGATAGCGGTTGATAACGGAATGTTTTAAGATAGACATTTCATGATATTTTTTTTATTAATATCGGTATGTTGTTCATGTTATAATTGATGTCAGTTTACCAGAGTATGCACGCGAACTGACCGCTGTTTTGTAAACTCGCAACATTGGGTTTCACCAAACGTCACTCGTGAGGGGCGGCGTGTCACGGTCAGATCGCGTGAGTTTTTTGTGTCAACTTCTATAATGTTAATTTGACCAATCGTGGGTGAGTTTATTTTCCCCGTGTGCCCCACGAGTTTTGATTTTTCTCGGTCAAGGTATGACCGGTGTGCTGTGTCTGAAAAAACCACGTGTGTGAGTTGAGTTTTTTGAAGGAGTGAACAGTGGCGAGTGCTGTGGATAGGGTGTATGATTTTTTTGTCTTGAAAAGGCAGTGAGTTTTTTCTACGGATGGAAGAGGACTTGTGTAACTTTAACTGTTTTCTGTAGTGGCATATAGGCACACATAGCCAATAAATAAGAAAACATGAAACCCTGAATTGTTTGTTGATACATGGAGCAAGAGTCAGCTCTGTAGGAGCTGGAAATAAAGGGGTTCTAGACCCTTGTAAAATTGTTCTGTGGCTAGTACAGAGGGGACCGCCCCTAGACAACGTACGTCACGTCACAATTCTGGTTTATCTTCATTTTGTTTTTTTCATTTGAAGGTTACTCTACTTCTACTCTTAGACAAATGTAATATTTTTATGATTTTCGGGACCTAATTTTTGTAAGTTCCTGGCCTATTTCATTCTATACCTTACATACACAATCACACATGCAGTATACAGGTAATAAAAAAGGGCAAAAGGGGTAGGCCTATATATAAATAATTAGGGCCTAATAAATATTTCTTAGCCTATCTGTCTTGCCTATCTTCATCTTGTCAGGCTATCCTCTACTGAGTTTTAGTTAGTATAGAGTAGAAAACTAAAGACTAAAGTCACAAGTTAACTTAAAACTTAGTTATTATTCAATAGTAGATACTTCGATGAAAGAAGGGAGACTACTATTTTTTTTGTATCGGAAATGGGCGTCGGCGCCGAAAAATCCGAGTTTTTAATTTTCCGATGTGTGTGTCTATTTATTATTAAATTAGTTCTTTCCACATATATTTGAGTTCCGTTTCCGGCCTTATAATTTGGAAGACATCTTGGCCTACATTTCTAGCCAGCTATTTTGCTTTTTTCAATCGACCTTTATTTTGAAAATCTTTGGTATATATAAGGCATCTTCGCATACAAAATTTTTTGTGAAATAATAAGATAAGGTCCTTTTTTATTAAATCTGTATGAGCATTAGATATTGATCTATATCTGTGCCAAGTTTCATTGATGTAGGTCGTGTCCCACGTTTGTTACACTTGTCACAGTGACCCATATCACCATTAGGTGGCTCAGCCTAATTTCGACATGGCTTGGGCCACGCCCCCTTTTTAATGGCGGAAGTTGCCGATATTTAGGAAATATTTAATTATTACCACTATATACATCAAAATATTTTATATTTTGTGTTTCAGAATGCATTTTGAAGACATTTAAACTGGAAATGTTTTAATTTGAGCTTTAAAAACCCTGCAGAGTCCATAATATAAATGATCAGAATTTTCCCTGTGCAACACGTTGTCATTGGCAACCATTCACAGCCACTTGCATAACGGCTACATTGTAGTACTATCTCAGAGTTTCATTCATAAGAGTTTGCCATGTGCAAAAGCTATTAAACCATTGGTCAGGGAAAGCTTTTATTAATTATTCATGTGCCAAAGTTGAAAGTTTAAAATAAGTCGACCCTAAACAGTATTTTAGTGATAAGGGAATGCATTGCCTTATATAAACTATATAGTCATTGCTGCATGACACGATCAAGGGAATGAGGTCACAGAATGTGGAGATGCAGTCTATGTTAAAAAATGACAAACCAAGTCGTACTTTAAAAATTCATAACTTTAAAACTACAACAGATAAAAATATGATTTTGGTGTTATAATTATGTTTAAAATTAGCTCTATTCAACTGTGCCATTGGTTTATTTTTAAAAAATGTTTACATTTTTGACCAAAACCAAAGTATCTATCAATAGTCTACTGTCCACTACTGTTACTTTTATTAATTATACTATAGTATACGATTTTTCATAGCCCTATATTATAGTCTATTTAATTAAAGACTATTATTACTATTATGGAAATAGTATAGTATAGTTTTTATACCTTGAACTTTGCCGAATACCTCAAAGTTTACACTCTTTAGAGGAGTCGCCATGATAAACAATAATGACAATGTCAATAATATTACCGTTGCCGTTGACCGTTGCATTTGATAAAAACTAAGAAAGCTGAGGTCAACGAATTTATACAAGTATTTAGGAAACAGTTAAAAACAAAAACAAAAAATTAAAAAATAATTTTTTTTAATGAGAGTTTTTAAAAATATACTGATTAAAAAAAAAAAGCCAACATAAATCGAATAATGAATCACTTGTTCAAATTGAATATTTTTTGAATTGTAGAACAAAATAAAATAGTGCTTTTTAAATTACTACTCTCTAAGACAGTCATAGCAATACAATTATCATATAGAAAACCATTAAACACTCATATAAACATATACAAATTACATAAAAATATTTATTTATTTTATAATTTTGTTTAATATGAATGAATAGGCAAGGTTATTTTGAAATAAGAAATTTTTTATTTTAAGCTTTTAGAGACTATACATTTTGTGTATTCCTTGGCAACATTAAAAGAGCTTTAAATCTGCGGAAGTTCAAATATCTTGTTTCATTTTCTTGCAAAATATATTATAAAATGACGACGCCGACGGTCAGTTTAGAAGAGTACTTTCGAACCATGTTCGAGGATAAACTTCTGGTGTAAGTTGTTATCCTTACAATATGCAGTACAACTTAGCCTACTGTCACACAAAGAAGAGCCATTAATCATTAATAGTTAATGATTAATACTAAAATGAATGTAAATGTAATTTAAATTGGCATTAGTCTTTAGTCTTTGTCTTTAGTTATTAAGTTATTATACTAAAGATAAACTTAAAGTTTAAGTCAAGTGTCTCTTACATAGTTATGCCTAGTAAACTCTAAAAGTGAAAGTCTAAGTCATAAAAAGTACTTCTAATAAATAGGCCTATGTGGAGAGTTCATAGATTTTTCTTAAACAATTGGGACCAGTAGCTTACTAGTGGGGGTTGGTATAGTGTAGGGAGTGACCTCCATTATCATTAGCTTCAAATATTGTTTAAAGTTTTAAAGTGATAATCAATACTAATTAATATTATCAACATTATATATATAGGCCTATATAATAAATAATAGATTTGTGTGTGGGGGCCCAATTTCAGGAGTTAGCCCTGGTTGCATTTCTAAAAATCTGAAAAGCCACATCTTGTGTGTTGGCGTTGGTGTATTTTAGGAGAGAAACACTATTCTCATACTTGCATTTTCTCACTTGAATCGACTTTCTTATTAGAATATTACTGAATGTAATGCTAGCATTAAACTTGTACTTCTATCTTCACATAGGAAAAGGTGGTCATAGGTTGCAGGCGGAACATTTCCAGGACTAATATTAAAAAAGACCTAAAATTTACATGCCGATTTATTCATAAATAAGTGCACCTTCCTTTACACCAGCTTAGAAATTGATGTTGCTAATTGTATCTTTAGTTGGTTAAAAAATATGTTAAATTTACTGATGCCTAGGTTTTGTTTTGGCGTCCACCCATCACAATGTGACGAGGGTGTACACTTTGCAAGACAAAATCATAAGGCCTGGGATATTTTCTTTAGGAGGATAAACTGGTGCCCTAAACGCTAAATCACCTCTGCAGGCATCTGGTGAACCCAATGGAAGATTGTGTGTGAATGATAAAGTAAAGCTTGGCACCATTAGTGTTGCAGGAGTTGCCAGAATTTTTTGTTGAGACATACTGCCTACGGGACTCTAAATCTGGGTTTGAATTTAGAGTTTTCCTTCTTTTAGATGAGAAGCCATCCCATCCACCCGGGGAGCTGGGGATGTTTTTGCTTGTCTTTTCTTGTGTTGAGCTGGGAATTGAACTCAAGTCCACAAGCTTGAAATTTGACGCAATTATGAGCAGCCATCATAAATAAAATAAAATATAATTATATTTCCAATAATTAAAAGAGGGTATTTTAAGACATTTCAGAAATTGTATTCATGTTTAGATTTGTACAAAAGGAATGGTAACACCAATAATAATAATAATAATAATAATAATAATAATAATAATAATTTGAAAATCAAGCTTCATCCCCAAAGGTACAAAGTCATCCATATTAAAAGAGAAATGAAAAAATCTATATTTTACCACATTGAAATACAAAACGCAACATTACAAAAACATCATACAAGAATACCCATTCTAAGTCTTTCGTCCCTTGCGTCCATAAATAACACAGGCCACTATACATCTAGGAGATAATAGCTAGCTTGAAAAGATGGTAGCCAACAGGTGTTTGCGAAATAGATATGTTTTCAATTCGGTTTTGAAAGACTCCAGTGTCTGGCTGTTTCTGAGAGCGATAGGAAGTGTGTTCCAAATTGTTGGGCCAGCAAATGCGAACGTGAGCCTTCTCTGGCTGTTTCTGGGAGCGATAGTAAGTGTGTTCCAAATTGTTGGGCCAGCAAATGCGAACGTGAGCCTTCCATAAGTCTCATTCTAGTTTGGATGTTTTTAACCCCCCCCCCCCCAACCCCATCATCACCAATTAGTAACACAAAATAAACACTTTTATCACACGTCATCAAATTCGTGACTCCTCCTTCGCTGACACGTGACGTCGTTTATGGGTGGCTTTATCGATAGGGATTAGTAATCAAGTATTCTAATGATACCCTGTATAACATTTGCTTTTTAGATCATAGATCATTCATGGACTACCCCTACACATATCTAAAGTTGCTTTGAGTGGACAAATTACAATAGTCAATACTATTGACAATGTGCTTAACTATTTATTTTCACTAGTACTGAAATGATTGTTTAGTAACATGAATATTCTGATCACCAATACAAATTAAATTTAAACAACCAAGCTAAACATAGTTTATGGGATGTACCAATAAGTGAATGCCAAAGTCATGTACAAAGTATGTGAAAAAGTATCATATTTGAAATGCTCAATAACTTCAAATTAAAAAAAATAAAAACAATATTTGTATTTTAGAAAAATGCCAGAGAGAGAGGATGATCACCTCACCCCAGCAACTCGACTGTTAGAGAAAAGGCGGGAAATGGCTGAAGTGGAGCAAGCCCTTGCAGCACAAAAGGAGGTAAAATTGTCTTAGCTGTTATGTAGATTTACAAAGTAGTTTTTATTTACTGTAAGATAATTTGTGTTTTTAAATATCAAGGCCATTCATTTTTTTAAAAGTTAATAATAAATTTGTTTACTATTTTTTCCATATTAGAAATAAAAAGGAATAATTTTAAAACTTCAGAACTTCTCTACTTATGTAATAACTTTTTTTGGTTAATTCACAACATTAAATAAATGAAAGTTGGGATACAAGGAATTGAGGAGAACAAAAACATAGCGACACAGTGGAAGGAGTTTAGTTGGAATTAAATAAAAATATGGCTAGCTCTTTAGCAGAAATAGTGAGACACAAGGCAATCACAAAAAACAAGCCAGTGCTCAAATCCTAGCAGCTAGAATCAGTCACTAAAATACTAATACCCATTACACTATAAAATTCAAATTCTGGCAAAGTGTGGTGAGCAAACCCTTTCACAAAAACATTAGTAAGACAGACCTGAAATTCCATAAAATTTTAACTCTGCTTTTAGCTCTAAATAACAAAAAACATAGATGACATATATGGATTGGGCAAACTATTGATAATTCTGTATCTTAAAAAAGTTGGAATTTTAAATTAAAATGTTCAACAACTTAAAATAAATAATAAAACCAATTTTTGAGGGATCAGAAATAAAAATTAAATTGTCAATTAACTCTTCATGACAGCATAGAAAATATTAGTTAAATCTTTTAACCTCAATAAAGTAATGGTTTAAAAAGAAGAAAAAAAGGAACCAAAGCTTCTGTATTTTTCTTTATGTGATGCCAATTTCCATAAAATAAATTGATGTTTGTGAACTATTTTTAAATTTCAGGAATTTCAAATGAAAATGGAAAGCTTACAACAAAGGCGAGAGGAGCTTGAAAGGAAAGAGTTTCAATTAAAAGAATCATTGCTAAAATTTGACAAGTTTTTAAAGGTACATTTCATTCAATTTTTAAACATTGAAAACTTAAGTCAGTTTAGTTATTCTCAAACAAATTGAAACCAAAAACTTTTAAATTTTTATGTAAAGAGAAAGAAATGTAATTCCAACTACCAGTACCTTAATTATCAATTTTAAAATTAAACAAAGACTTAAGTTTAGAAAATGTAAACATCTTCAACTTGTTTCAGTTGGTAAACAAAACATATTCTCTCATGTTGTAGAAAATGGAAAACAACATTCATTAAAAAAAAAAAAAACTTGTTTGATCCTTTCTAACAGGAAAATGATTCAAAAAGAGCAAGAGCAGTAAAGAAAGCCAATGATGAACGTGAACTTAAAAAGCTAAAAGACAGAGAGATTGATCGGTAATAGATCCTTTTTAAAAAAATGTTATTCGCTTTGTAAATTTTACTGCTTCTTGACAAAATTCTTTCAATTCCTATTGAACAGCTCTTGAAATTTAATCCCTCAGGTCCCTTAATTTAATTAAGTCACTGGGAATTTTTAAATTTTTTTAATAGAAAATTAAATTTTCCATTTGAATCCTATGCATTACTAACATTTATTTACTTGTAAAACACGTATTCCACTGCTTCAATCTTAATTCAAAGAATACTGAAAAAAATTTTGCACTTTACTTTGATCTACTTTCTATTTAGTGTAAAGGAGGAAACTGACGCTTACCAACGGCAAAAGGAAATGCTTCAAAGAAAGTTGGAAAAATTTACTATTTTTCATACATACATGGACAAAGTCCTGGAGGCTGGGGAAGATTTTCATGAAATCAGAGATATTATCACAAGGTGGGATACACTCACAGCAACACACATGGTATGTTAACAAAATTAATTAATTTTATATCTGAAATGTGCAACAGATTTAAGATCATATCTGTAGAGTTAATATCTCTTTTACCCTCGAACTGTGGCATGCATCATTCTGTGGTGTGGAGCTTTTCAGAGCTTTTTCAGTGCCTTTTGAAATTGCATTAAATGACATAGAAATATTGATGCAAGACCCCAATAAGTATATATTTTTAGAAAGGTAAATGGATGGGGATAAAGTTGGCCATATTGTAAAAAAAAATGTGCTCAGTGTCCTTGACCTAGGAGTTCTCAAGAAAATAAAAATAGACAAAATGTCTTGCTTTCGAGTGCTCATAACATCATTAATTTTTATAGATACATCTAAAACACAAATCTAAATGTTGTAGCCAATTCATTTATCTTTCAGAAAATGTATAGTTTGCTAAGGTTTTGATTGCAATTAAGCATCTGAAAGCAATTTTAGTAATTTTAGTCATTTATATAAGAAACTGGGACCACTGCTAAAACCAAGTACAAAATACAAAATCTCAGGCAAAATAGTTATTATTGACTAGTAAACATTTAAAAAGGAACGGTGGAACTGATTTGTGTTGTTAAACTATAAAATGTATTAGTTCTGATCTATAATCTGTAGCTTCTGTGACTAAAATTCAGTGAGTCCTTGCCCAACCTCCGGGCCTGGCTCGAAGTCAAACAGTATCCCCAGTAGACTACTAAGTCTAGTATCAGATTCAGGAAAAGAAGAATCTTAAGTGGGATGTCATGGGGAATGTGAAAATCATCATCAGTATCACTTAAATCCTCTCATAAAAAGCTTTAAAAAATATTGATATTAGTTTTCGCACTAAGGTCCCGGCCATAGCTTCCACCATTTTTGCTTTAAAAAAACAGCGATATAAAATTCAGATTAAAAAGTACTTATTGTTAAGTTATCAAGAAACAGCTTGACCCTGAAGTTGATTTAATTATTAATAAAAGGAAATGGCTATGATTTCGTTTAAATATTGGATTGGAAGTTGCTATTGGACCGTGTTTTTTATCTGCCGATTTTTTCGGCCGCCATAACACAGAACGAGAATATCGGCCGATTTCGTGGGCCGACCACAGTTTGAGGGTTAATTCAATTGAGTTGATTATTCACAGCTTTGTACAAAATGTTCAACATTGAAAGAATATTTTAATTATTAGTCAATAAATGTATAAGTTTATGTGCCATAGATTAAAGTGGGTTTTGGAAATAAAGACATGGCAGCAGCTTCAGGTTGTTTTATGGTGTTGTCTATAAAAGAAGTCCACATTTTTCCCACCCCTCCCCCTTTTTTCCATGTGGCTTCCTCCTCTCCATGCTTACAGAAATTTGCAGTGCAAATTAGCCAGGAAGTATTATGCATACTGGTGCTTAGGGCTGTGGGTCTGGAGAAATTACATAAGTTTAATTATTCTCCTGAAACTCTGACTCTCTAATATCTGTAATAAAGCATACAGTCACCTAAAAATCTGTGACATCTATGATATTTAATTTTTTTTGAAAGTCTTAAAAGAAATCACCGCAATGTTATGTATTTATCGTCATACTGTTGCTTTGTGTTTCCACTAGCTTAATAGCATTATAGTAATAATTAATTTTTATGTGATTCTGTGCCTGTGATGTGATTTGTGACATAATCATTTAGTTGAGCTGAACCCAACAGCTGCACTGGTGAAAGAAACGTGGATGAACCCACCACACATATTTCAACATGCTAACAGCAGTGCATCAAGTTTTTTTTTTACCCCAGGCCCCACTGATCACTTAAATGTTTTAATGTCTGGGGGGGGGAAGCCAATCTCAATGCCACCTTAAAGAAAATTAACTTTACATTTTTCTGCCAATTTAGGTCTTAAGATTCATAATTGTAGGATATATTTGTATAAGCAAATATCCCCCCCCCCCCCCATTTAATACAAATACATTTCTTACATGGCAGAGCTTCGACATAGCTAGGGTTAGTGCGCCCCCTGCCCTCGGGTGGACAAATATTTTAGCTGCCAGACGTCATGAAAACGCCTCAGTTGGCCAAAAATGTGTCTCTGTGGATACTATATGAACTAATCTACATCTAAAGGAACTAAGTTTCTTTTTCCAGATGATTTTTTAAAAATAAAAAATTCTCCATGAACCTGAACGCAGCTTTACAAATAAGTAAATTTGATCAGCATGATCATCAGCTTTTTTTAATCTCCTCACTTACTAAACTCTGTTGGCTGCCTTGTGTGGTCAGCCATGGAGGTAAATGCCTGCAATGCAAGGAAGATTGCTAAGATAGTATTTTGTTTTTTTCATTTGCATTGAATGTCAACATAGAGCCATTCATTTAACACTAATGCTGTTTTAGGAATAGCCATCATTCTAGCATTGTAGGATACCACTTATTCCTTCCATCAACCACATTCAAGAGATGCTAATTTGGATATTTGCTGAGATAGTTTAAAATATATATTGTTGTTCGAAACTATCCATTGTTGAAAATTAAGAAATACATTTTAGTTTGGTAATTGTCTCTTCATCTTGGCATCCAGGGCCCCATTAGATTTTATTATATTTACTCTATTTTTTCCTTAAAACTTTTAATTATTGAATTTTTTAAATAAGTTCAGTATGTAGGCCTACTTTTGATGAAAACTTAGCCATTAAAATTGTCTGTGTCTCCAAGGATTTGCTTGAACGAGACCAAGTGAACCATGACAAAATAGAGAAGCAGCGACAAGATTTGATGAAGTATATGGAAGATAAAGAAAACCAGGTTCTGAACTACAACAACCAGCTGTCAACATTGCAAACGAGACTTGATGCCGCTCAGAGTGAGGCAGTCAAATGGGAGAGCAGGTGGACCCACATCAAGAACACAGCAGCCAAGAAAACTCTCCTGTTAGGGAGGATCAAAATGTTTGTGATGTTTTTCATATTATGGCCTCTTAGTTAAATTGAAAACAGGATTTAAACATTTTATCACTGTGTTAGGAATATATATGAAAACAAAACAAATTATTCTGAAAAATAAACTGACCATAAACACGGCACTTGGGCATCTTAGGCCAAATCTCTATTTCTCTAGGTTCTTAAAGAGACTCAAAATGAATTTAACTTGACAGTTTTGTAGATTTAATTTAAGAGACTTGTTTGATAAAATAATGTAAAATAGTCAATATGGAAAAAGGATTCCTTTGGCTTTTTATATTCTTTAAGCTGCATTACGGTGTTAATATTTACACTGCATTCAATGACACCAACATTAAATAAAAGTATTTTACATTCCCTTTTTTTTATCCAGGGCCACACACAACTTGTATCAGTTGGTGCGAAGTCATCAGAACCAGTTGGACGATGTTGAAGACACCAATGAGCAGCTTTCACAGGTGTGTACATGTCTGGCTTTGAGCTTCTTTTCATTCTTGGCATCTGGTCAAAGGTGTTAAACTGAAATCTTGGTGGTCATGAGTTATTCAAGAGGAACTTTTACAAAGTGAAATAATAATTAATCTTTCCTTTTTGTATTGATTTCAGTCAGGGCAGTTGGTTACAGCAAATTTTCATCCAATGTAGTTGTATGTAGAGTGTAACTTATCCCTTATTTCTATTAATGGTTATAATCTTGGCCCCCTTAAAAAAAAAAATTGACATTTTAAAATTACTTTCCTTAAATAGTATTTTATATATGACACTTTAATAATATTAATATTAATAGATAATTCATTCTAATTAAAAAGTTTGTATTTATACTATATTGAACATTTTTGTTTCAAACATTATAAATAAACAATATTTTATTTTTTCATCAACGAAAATAGACCTACAATTCTTTTATTAAAACCACCATTTTTTAAATGTGCTATTTAGTTGCAAAGGGTTAATGGTGCTCAAACATGAATAAATGACTGAAAAATTATTAAAACTGACCACTTCTGAATATTTTATCTTTGTCTTGTATTTCAGATTCAACTTTTTGTTCAGGACCTAAACCAGATTACAACTGAAATAAAGAAGATGGAGCACACAGGGACATCAATAGTTCCATCTTCTTCAAGCTAGATAAGTCCACAACATTGATATGAAGTTTGTTAGCAGGGAGAGTTATTTTGTAACTGATGAAATATTGTTTAGACTGCTTGTGTTTGTGTGATTCATTTTGAATTTAAATTTTTTTTAAATTACTAAAATATTTTCTAATGTCAACAAAAGTATAGGACAATCACTTTTATTGGATGACCCTAAATAATCATGTCTATTTCACACACTTAAAAAATGAAATTGTTGATAGTTCATTTCCTTACTGCTCTGTACATTTAAGTATAAAATGATTTTGAGCTGCACCTTTTGTGTAAAATTTAGTTAAGTATCTGGAAAATTCACTTTGATGCATTCGTATGAATGCACTTGCGCTAAATCAATATTACTTTGACAATCAGCTGGTTATTGTTCCAATATATGTTGTTTGGTTACAGATGAATTTGTCTTTTTAAAAAATAAAATAAAATCTTGAGATGAATAAACCAGCACATCCTATCAGCAGTCTTCTGCAAGCATAACAGCACTTGTTTTGAGATGGTCTATGCCAGCTGTGGGCAACTATCCGGCACTCGTTTAAAGCGTGGCCCTCTAAATTTCTGTTCCAGGACACAGAGAACAGGGCTAACCTTGAACAATTTCCAACTCCTTCCCTGAATTGTAAAGATTTTCATAGGATTAATAAAAGAATATTTGTAATTTAATTTTATTGAGACATTTATAATTTATTTAAAAACTTTGCAGGAAAGGATTGGTTGGGGGTGGGAGGGGGGTGGTTTGGCCCTAGTATGGTCAGAATGATATTATCAAACAAGGTGTTGTTACAGAGTAAAAGCCAAATTCATTGAAGATTTTAATTGATTTTTTTTGTCATGATGAGAGAGCTATTCACAGATCTTGCCCACCTAGAGCAGTTTTGAAAAGACTGCAACTGAATTTCAGATGACAACATTTTGCAATTTTGGAGGGCACACTAAGTCCCTAGACTAGGCATCCATAAGTTGTATTTTAAATCATTTTTATCTAGATGACAAAACAGAAGGTAATATTTATTTTAGAAAAAAATTCAGCCCATATATTTGTGAATTGCTTATCATGAGTTTAATTACTGTAATACTTGTTAATGTACATTGTTATTTTATATGATATTTTATTATGACGACTGTCTAAATACCGGTATTTCTATTTTAAATGGAACTGGTATGTTATAGTTTATTAAATTTGATTGTAGTTTCAAATGTTCTATAATGTTAATTTAATGCAGCATGTGAAATGATATGCCGGTTACTGTATGAGAATATTTTGATGTAAGTGCATTTCAGTATGATGTTGAAATTTGTATTTATTATTTTGTAACAACATGTATGAAATTAAAAATAAATAAGAGGCCTACATTCTCATTGCATAAAAAAACAAACAAATTAAATATCATGTGTTTAATATATCTATAAATTGTCGGTGTAATTATAAATTTCACAGTCTTGTATTCATTTGCCTACCTAAAAGGCCTTTAAAAATGTGGACTTTATATGTCACAAACTTTAAATTATATGTTATAATAGTTTTTAAAAAATTATTTGTTAATTTAAAAGTAACATAGATCTATATGTAATTATACTGCACAATGATCGACATTGTCAAGAACTGTTTTGCTGATGTCTCTCATTAGTTTGGGATATTAATAATAATATAATTATCTATGTTGTATAATAGGATCAAAAGCTAAGGGAAGGTTTAAACAAGTTTTAATAATAATCTGTAAAATGTAAGTGAAGTTTAATAAAGAAAACATAACAAAGGTGTTCCATTTTTACAATTATAGATATGAAGCCAGACATTACAAGTATTGTAAAAATGTCTGTAAAGTTTAACTTAAAAAGCAAAGTGATATTGATAAGAATTATTCAACGACCACAGCTCTCTGTCAAAAATATTTGAGAACTTAATTATCAAAGAAAAAAAATCCATTTAAAAAATGCCTGCTTAGCTCCCTTGCTCATTCTGCCTGCTTAGCTCCCTCTCTCATTCTGGGGCCCTAAAAGCCCAAGGTACTGAAGTACTGATGAATTTCTTATAGAATTGTGCCTGACAGCATGGGCGCCCGCAGGTAGGGGCAAGGGGGGGGGGCACTTGCCCCTCCACTGGATTGATTGGATACAAATTTTTTAGACAAAAATAGACAAAAAATGCATTAAAGTAAAGAGAAAATAAAGAGAAAGTAACTAAGCTGATGTACTGTCCGTTCGTTCCCCATACAAATACGCTACAGTAAATTAAAACTACATTAAAACATTACTAAAAAATGTTTGCGCTCCCCCCCCCCCTAAGTTTAACAAATTTTTTTGCCCCCCCCCCCCCCAGAAAGCTTTCTGCGGGCGCCCATGCCTGAGAATGAGTATATCTGGAACACCCGCGACACATGTTATTTACCATTGCTCGATATTACATTTTATAAAGGATGGATACGAAATCTTTGTCTTTAGTGGTTGTTTAATGAAATGAAGCTCTCTTTCCATTTAGTGGCATCCATGAGTGTTTTGTGGTTTGATCTGTGTGACATTGTAAGCTGATGCGGTATGAGATATAGGATGTGTCCTGAAATAAGATCTGCCCTATGACGCTATCGTAATATTTTATTGTAAACAAGGTCAAGATGCAGCAAGGTGCATGGACTTTGTTGAGATTTTTGAATGCATGCGTTTTTATTTCTATATTTTAATTTCAAGTATCTTTTGTTTCTTGCTTTGTATTGTCTGATGGAGGAGGCTTTTAGCCGAAACGTCCGTTGTAATGTCTTGTCTTTTCAACCCTAAACATATCTTGTTACACTATTTATCTAAACATTATCTTGCTACACCACTTACCTCACACGGCTTTAAGGCAGTCCATCATATCCAGTACTATTAAGAAAAGGAAGCTGTCGCTGCCAAACTTATAAACCGACACTACGCCCCCCCCCCCCCCCACACACTTTCCCCCCACTTTATGACGTATCATGTTAATGCAGTTTTAACGGTTTTTAAGCAGTGTTTCTTTCAGGGGGTGGGGGGGGGGCCCCCGCAACCCCCCCCCCCCGAGTAAAATGTATACAAAAATAAAACGAAATGAAGTTTTATTTTAAAAAAGACTGAATTGTCATTTTTATAAATTTGTTAAAAGAATAGTAACTGGTGTTTTCACTGATTACAGTTAGTGGAACCTATGGAATATCGCTAGGCTCGATACATTTAATGATCCATTTAATTAAAGACTAATCTTGTCAGAGGCTTGCTTGCAATACTCAATTTAATAATATAATCTGGTGACTTCTGATTATAAACCAAAGTTTTACCTTTCTTTGTTCGAATTTATCAGGTTCTTGTCAAATTATTTCTTGTTGCAGCGTCACACGTTGAACGACTTTGATAACCCGGTTTTTAAACTACCCGTGCATCATTAGGAATGTCAATGATTTTAACAATAGTTCTTCCTAAGTATCAACTATGTGCAATATGTTTTCAAATTATATTTCAAAGTAAAGTAGGGTTAAAGATATTAATTATAAATTGTATGTGGCATCATGCTTTAAAAAAAAAAAAGTAGTTATGAGCCAAATTTTAAATGTATTTCACCCCTCGTGTGTTGGGATAAATAAAATAAAAACTTTAAAAAATAAACAAAACAAAACAAAAGTTAAGAATTAACGGGCGCACACAACCAGAACCCGTTTCCATTATTATTAAAACGAAAGCTACGTGTGTTTTCGTTAAATTTGCTACTTGTGTGACACATTTTCCCCGAATAACAGACTTAGAAAAAAAAATCATAACATCATTTAGCCTTTATTTGTTAAATTTCCAGCTGCGTTTCTCTCTTTTAATATCAGAATAATAAACCATCTGCCCGACCTGCCTATTTGCACGCATTTACATTTTTTCATCAGAAAGCTAAAAAAAGAACCCACAAAAGTAAAAACCGCTAAACTCCGCTGTTTTTTTTTGTTGTGTGAGCTATTTCGATAATAATGCAAAATTGCTTTTTTTCCCCGCCTTTTTTCCCTGGTAGTTTTAGATAAATTCTTCATTCTAAATCGACAATTCATAAAAATAAATTTCGGTGGATTTGGTTTTAAAAATGTACTAGTGTTTATCGAAGAGGCAATTACCAAAGGCAGTTTTTTTTTCTTCATTTGCTTTCAACACTTAAAATAATGCTAGCAGCGCTTTTTGTGATGGAAACCTTTTAAGAAGGAATTTTTCTTTTTAAATTCATTTATTAATTAAAAACAACAACAACAAAAAAAAAAACCTACTTAGTAACATAACAAAAATAGCGGTATAACACAACCAGGCCCGGCAGAGCCGTTGCTTGACTG